ACTTAGTAGTGGGGGTCTACTATAGACCACCACACCAGGAGGATGAGCTAGACCTGGAATTCTCCAGACAGCTCTCGGAGACCATATGGTTGAGAGATATGGTTGTCACGGGTGACCTAAACTACCCTGATATCTGCTTGGAGGAACAGTCAGCCAAATCTAACCGCTCACGTAGGTTCTTAACCTGCATACAGGACGTCCATCTAACACAGGAGGTATTTGATCCCACTAGGGGAAATGCCTTGCTGGACTTGGTGTTAACTACAGGGGATGACCTGGTGGGGAATCTACAGGTACACGGTAACCTAGGGGATAGTGACCATCGATGGATAGAATTCACTATCCAGCAAAGGGTGGGTAAGCTAACCAGCAGGGCTGAAGTGCTAGATTTCACAAAGGTTAACTTCAGTGTGCTCAGGAGATTAGTTAGTGAGGTGTTAAAGCTCAAGAGCATCGGCAAAGTGGAGGTCCAGGAAGGGTGGCACTTCCTCAAGGGAGCGATCCTATGGGCGCAGAAGGAGACAATCCTATTGTGCATAAAAGGGGGAAAGGGGCCAAGAAGCCCTCTTGGCTGAATAGGGAAGTCCAGGAAAGCCTAAGGGCAAAGACAGAGGTATACAGGCTGTGGAAACAGGTGGTAGCTACCAAGGAGAAGTATACCTCCCTGGCTCGCACTTGCAGGGAATCTATTAGGAAGGCCAAAGCGGGATTAGAACTTAGGCTAGCAGCAAAAATTAAGGACTACCAAAAGTCCTCCTTCAGGTATATAGGGAGCAAAAGGAAGGCACAGAGTAGCATAGGACCCCTACAGGACAAACTAGGGCAATTGGTGACAGAGACGGGGGACAAATCTGAGCTCTTCAATGGGTTCTTTGCATCTGTATTCCTAGATATAGACCAAGGCAAATCTCCCAATTGGATCATAGATACACACAGGAGGGACACCACCCCACCAACTGTTAGTGCAGACTTAGTAAAGGGGCACTTGGAGGGGCTGGATGTGTTCAAATCAGCAGGCCCGGATGAACTTCATCCAAGGATGCTGAAGGAACTGGCCAGTGTCAAGGAGAGCCACTGGTATGGCTGTTCAAGCACTCATGGTGCTCCAGTCAGGTCCCAGAGGACTGGAAAAGGGCCAATGTGGTCCCTATTTTCAAGAAGGGGAGGAGGGAGAGCCAGGAAACTACAGGCCAGTTAGTCTCAGCTCTATCCTTGGGAAAACTCTGGAAAAAATCATTGAGGATCACATTTGTGGAGGCCAGCAGGGGAAATAATGCCAGAAGGAAATCAGTACAAGTTCACTGCAGGTAGATTCTGCCTGACTAACTTTGTTTCTTTTTATGACCAGGTCACAAAATACTTAGACACAGGAGCTGAGGTAGATGTCATCTACCTAGATTTTAAGAAGGCCTTCAATATGGTATCTCATTCTGTTCTTGTAAATAAACTGACAGGCTGTAATGTAGATGATTACACAGTCAGGTGGGTGGCAAATTGGCTTAGTCGCACCAAGAGAGTGGTGGTGGATGGGTCGATATTGACCTGGAAAGATGTGGGTAGTGGAGTCCCACAAGACTCTGTCCTTGGACCAGTGCTATTCAATGTCTTCATTAGTGACTTGGATGAGGGTGTGGAGAGCACCCTGTCCAAGTTCGTAAATGATACCAAGTTATGGGGCCAAGTTAATACACCAGAGGGTAGGGAACAGATCCAGGCAGATATGGACAGGTTGGAAAAATGGGCAGAACAAAATAGGATGTAGTTTAACAAAGATAGGTGCAAAGTGCTACACCTGGGCAAAAAGAACCACCAACACACTTAGAGGCTGGGGGATGTGTGGGGAGTTGGAGGAAAAGCAAGGGCAACCTTGGACCCCTGCTAAACCAGATGGGACAACTGACAACTGATGCCCAGGAAAAACCCAACTTACTAAATGGGTACTTTGCATCGGTTTTTCACAAGTCCCATGGGATGCTCGTGCCCATCACAGGACAGGGAGGCCCAGGTGAGCGAGATTCCTTTCCCTCCATCATTGCTGACCTCATGAAGGAACACCTTGAGAGGCTGGACACATTCAGGTCAGCCGGCCCTGACAATCTACACCCCCGGGTACTCAAGGAGCTGGCTAGCATCATAGCTCAGCCCCTGGCATGGATCTACAAGAACTCCTGGTGCTCTGGTGAAGTGCCCGAATATTGGAAGAAGGCCAATGTGGTGCCTATCTTCAAGTAAGGGAGGAAAATTCATCCAGCAAACTACAGGCCCATCAGCCTGACCTCTATCCTGGGGAAGGTCTTAGAAAAAATTATCAAGGAGGCCATTCTTAATGAACTGGCTGATGGCAACTTCCTGAGGGATAGCCAGCATGGGTTTGTTGAGGGTAGGTCTTGCTTGACCAATCTTATTTCCTTTTACGACCAGGTGATCTATCACCTGGACAAGGAAGCAGAGATTGATGTCATATATCTTGACTTTAAAAAAGCCTTCGATCTGGTATTCCATGATCACCTTTTGGCAAAACTGGCCAACTGCAGCCTCAGGTCCACCACGATCTGCTGGCTGGGGAACTGGCTCCATGGTTGGACCAAGAGGGTGGTAATTCACGGAAGTCAATTGTCATGGTGCCCTGTGACCAGTGGGGTCCCCCAAGGCTCTGTCCTTGAACCTATATTGATCAACATCTTCATTAATGATGTAGACATTGGAGTCAGAAGTGGACTGGCCTAGTTCAGCAATGATACCAAACTTTGGGGTAAAGTATCCACACCGGAAGACAGGAGGGCGATCCAGGCTGACCTTGACAGGCTCAGGAAATGGGCAGATGAGAATCTGATGGTGTTTAACACCAAAAAATGCAAGGTTCTCCCCCTTGTGAAGAAAAACCTGCAGCGTGCTTATAGGCTTGGCAGTGCTATGCTGGCTAGCACTATGGATGAAAGGGACTTGGGGGTCATGATTGACCGCAAGTTGAACATGAGCCTTCAATGTGATGCCACGGCTAGTAAAGCGAGCAAAATGTTGGCTTGCATCCATAGATGCTTCTCAAGCAAATCCTGAAACGTCATTCTCCCCTTGTACTCAGACTTGGTGAGGCCTCAGCTGAAGTACTATGTCCAGTTTTGGGCTCCACAATTCAAAAAGCATGTGGAGTAGCTTGAGAGGGTGAAGAGAAGAGCCACGCACATGATCAGAGGTCAGGAAAACAGACCTTATGACAACAGGCTGAGAGCTATAGGACTCTTCAGCCTGGAAAAGTGCAGGCTCAGGGGTGATCTGATGGTCACCTATAAGTTTATTAGGGGTGTTCACGAGGATCTGGGGGAATGTTTGTTCCCCAGAGCCCCCCAAGGAATGACAAGGTCAAATGGTTATAAATTCCTGCAAGGCCATTTCAGGCTTGACATAAGGAAGAACTTCTTTGGTGTCCAAGCCCCCAAGGCCTGGAATAGCCTGCCATCAGAGGTGGTTTAAGCATCTACTTTGAACGCCTTCAAGAGAAATTTGGATGTTTATCTTGCTGGGATCCTATGACTCTAGCTGACTTCCTGCCCCTGGGGCAGGGGGCTAGACTCAGTGATTTTCTTCCAGCCCTAATGTCTATGAAATCTATGGATGACCTTCTCAGCAGCACAGCAGTGGAAAGGGATCTTGGAGACATAGTTGACTACAAGATGAACAGGAGTCATCAATGTGATAAAGTGATCAACAAGGCTAACTGCACTTTATCATGCATTAGCAGATGCATGACAAACAGGTGCAGGGAGGTGATGCTTCCCCTCTATGTGGCACTGGTCAGGCCATAGTTGGAGTACTGTGTCCAGTTTTTGATACTGCACTTCAAGAGGGATGAGAAGAATCTTGAGAGGGTTCAGAGGAGGGCCACTCGTATGGTCAGAGGCCTGCAGGCAAGGCCCTACAAATAGAGACTGAGGGACCTAGATCTCTTCAGCCTTCACAAGAGAAGGCTAAGAGGTGATCTTATGGCTGCCTATAAATTAATCAGGAGAGGGCAGCAGGGAATAGGAGACGCTCTATTTACTAGGGTACCCCCTGGAGTAACTAGGAACAATGGCCACAAATTGATGGAGAGCAGATTTAGATTGGACATTAGAAAAAACTTCTTCACAGTAAGGGTTGCCAGAATCTGGAATGGGCTTCCAAGGGAGGTGGTTCTCTCCCCTACCTTGGGGGTCTTCAAGAGGAGACTGGACAAGCATCTAGCTAGGGTCATCTGACCCCAGTGCTCTTTCCTGCCCAGGGCGGGAGGTCAGACTCGATGACCTACTGAGGTCTCTTCTGACCCTAAGATCTATGAATCTATGAACCCTTAAATATGACTAAAATATATGCAGGAATGATATTGTATTTATAAGGAACTTTCTTTAATAAGAATAGTATATAAATGTAATAAGTGAATATATAAATAAAACAAATACCTAAAAAAGCAGCCAATACTAAAGCTGATTCAAGCCTAGATCTATTTAGAATGTGAATTAATAACTTTGTGAAAAAAACCTATTACATTATTGTGATAAAAGTGATAATAATGGAATAACTTTCTAAGTTTTGAATTTTGTCATTATGTAATGGAAATAATGACATTACGTAATGGATTATAATTAAACCCAGGTGGAAAATGACCTTCTATGACCTTTCCCTCAAAATTAAGCTTTTTGACAGTCATGATTAATGGTACAATGTTCTGTGCATGGTTTGTAAACCTAAAACATAGTTGTATGTTTCAGGTTATAATTTTGAACAATTATCTCCTTCCAGATGCAAAAAGTTGAGATATATTTGTGTGCAGCAAGAGTGAATTTCAGTAGCTCAAGAGGCTGTTTATTCAGGTTCTGTATTAATGTTATATAGCTAAATAATTTATCTGCCCCTTCTCTAAAAAGACACTTTAAAAAGTAAATATGCACAGTAGCAGCATTACTGGTATTGATGCTGTTTCTATTCTTCTGTAAAAACAAAAAAATTCTTTCAAGAGGTCCTACCTGTAAAATTTCTTCAATGCAGCTGTTATCTCCTGTTCCACTGTCCTGTAAAGAAAGGGAGGAGAATTATTTTTAAAGAGGAAATAAAAAAATAGCAGGTTTGAGGAGATGTTGTCAAATTAGATGCATTCAAGACTCATTCACATTTTTTTCTAAGACAAGGCCAAGTACTTTAGCATGAAAACGTTTTTTTTTGTATTAAACCTCTAAGTTAGTTTGTATACATGCTGAAGGAAAATACAATAGTGTAATGTTGTTTAAATGACAGTGACCACAGCATATTTTTATTAATATATATGACATAAAAAAATCTGTATGATTCTGCTTAAGTTACATTGGGAGCAGTTAATTCTACCCTGAATATACATTACATACATACATTTAGATACAATATGTACATCTATGTACATTAAACTCTTTATGTAGGTTAAACTCCTGTTCATCATTAAGACTGAAGAATTGTACCCATACAGACTGAAGGATTCAGCCCATTTTAACCAAGGACATTATAAAATGCTATTGAATCTTCCTGGAAAGCTAGTGTTTAAATTGGAGCTGTATAGAATGAGTAACTATGAGTTCTAAAAGGATGACATTGCAAACCTTACTCACAACTATGAACAGTTGCTGATACAGGTCCTAGCCCAGCCGAGCCCATGCTTAAGTCCCACTAAAACTAGAATGTGTGCCAAAGAGTGTGAAGTGTAGTAGAGCCTCACTCTGCACTGATCAGACCTCTTCTTTCTCCCCTTCCCAACTGGCCCTCTTCTCTCTACAACCTCTGCAGTCCACCTCAGGCAGAGTCAACAGTGCTGGTAGGTAGAAGGGTAAGAATAGGATGTGGTGCTGCTGCCTGGAGGCTTACATAAGCTGAAGGGCTCTTTTACACAGGGGAAATCCTCCAGGGATCACTTTTTCATCCAGTTAAAATTCATTCCACATTGCATATTCCTCAAAAGGAACATTTTCTGCATATGCAAAGTGAAGTTAGCAGATGTGGGAACATGGCCCTGACTCTTCAGTTAAAATAGTGCAAGAAAAATGATTTTGTATTTACTTTTTTTGATTCTTGCTGTTTTTATTTGTATGGTTACTGTTAATAACTACTTTTGAAATAAACTAGACACTTTGGGCATTTGTAGATGAGCTCCAGGAGGCAGGGGAGATGGGCTCTTTAATTAGCGCAGTTCTGACAGCCATGCTAATTAAAATCACCTGAAGCATCATATGTATCAGCGTCCGTATGCTGAAAAATGGTAGTGGGGCACTTTGAATTAAAGCTCATTGAACCAGCTTTAGTTTAAAGCACCCCACCACCATTTTTTAGTGTGGGGACACTGATACACGATTAATTGAGTCTGCTCTGATGCACTGTAATGGAGCAGGCTCCCTGCATGTGTATAGGAGCCCTTTGGCACAAATTTAAAAAAAATAGTTGGCTCAATTTTCAGGCGACCAATTTGAGATATGTCATAGGAGTATAAAGTCTTCACAAAAGTGCTGGGAGCCTGCTGTTTCAAAATCAGACTCCTTTAAATGGTCTCAATATGGGCATCTGAAACAGAAATGTAACTGTTGATAATGGCTAAGTACAGACTGTCGATAAGCACAAGGCTGGATTGATTCAATCTTTGCAGGTTAGTTTAAACTGCATCGATTGAACTGATAAGCAAGTGAACAGACATTCACTTTTCATTCCAGAAATGCAGCCACATGCCTGCAGTGGCCCAAGCCAGAAGCCAGGAGATTCTAGACCACACCTCCGTGCTGGGCCAGGCCAGGCAGCTTGGGCTATGGCTAGCCCACCCATGCTGCAAGGGGAGGTTTGTGGGGGAGATGCAAAGCACCTGGGATGCTGGGGGACTTTGAGTTAACTTGAATCTGGAGGGGATCTAGGACAGAAGTTCAATAAACCAATTTAGCCTAAATGAGTAAATCTGATACTACAGCTACACAGGTTTATCTTAAACCAGTTTTGGCCATTTTGAAAGCAGTTTATGTGCACTGAACTTCTGTTGTGTTACAGATTTGAACCAGTTTCTGAACACTTATACCAGTTTATGTGTAAATTCTGTCCCTAGCCTAAGGGATGGGATTTCAGGAAAAAACCCTGTTCCTAAGTATTTCCTTTAGCTACTTCTGGGCACCTGCCCTCTCAGCATCAGAAGACTTTAGCTTTTTAGAGGTGCCTTATTGACTCCTTCATTGATTTTATATGGGATTTAGGTAACTATCTCTGCTTCCTTATATAACCCAGGTGGCACCCAATGATGTATTCCCCTCTCCAAATGAAGGGAATGTTAGAGGGGTGAAACTGCCTGTGGCACACAGTTTCCCTCCTTTCCCTATAGAGCAAGGCCAGGACGTGTTAAGGCTTAACTACGTACACATTTAATAAGATATAAAAATTATAGGTTAATATATTTACCCATAAGATATAGCAGCTAAAAGAGCTTATATACAGGTCAATGCAAATACTATATAAAGGTGGGGAATCAAAAGGGGATCAAAGCAAGTCTCATTAGAAGTCATGCAAATCTTATACTCTAATGGAATGCCATTTTACAAAGCATGAGGCGCAGAGTTCACAAAATATGAGGTGCAGGGCCTAGGGGGGAATAATGAAGGAAAAAAACCCAATAAGCTATATTAAAACAATAGCAACACCCCAGGAGAAGGAGTGGCCCTAGATGAGAGGAGGACAGTGGGGAGCCCCAGATACCCCAGCTGCCCCTTTAACCAACTTAAACACCCCAATTGCCCATAATGGGGGGAAAGACCCCCCCCCACCCATGGGAATCCCCTTCTTAGGCAACTCACAACTCCTCCAAGGTCCCAGTGAGTCTGTCCTCGTCTTTCAGGGTGAGGCGTCTCTTCCCTTAGCAGGGGGCCCTCAGCTGCTTTGGGGTGCTCTCAACCTCTGGCTTGTTTAGGGCCCTGTGCACTGCTCCATGCACCATTGGCCCTGCCTTGTGCCAGGGGTTAGAGACCCAAGCTACCTCTGCGGCACCATGGTCTTGGTCCACTCCCAGACCCTCCAAGGCTGTGCACCCCAAGCTGCTGCATGCAGCTCCATGGCCTTGATCCACTCCTAGACTCTCTGTGCACCAGCTGTGCACCGCTCACCCTTCCTCATGCAGGGGGGTTGGAGACCCAAGCTGCCTGGTGCAGCTCCCAGTGTCTCAGTCCCTCCCGGACCCTCCGTGCACCGGCTGTGCAGAGACACCATGCCTCCTCATGGTGGGGCTCATGACTGTGGCCGCTTGCCACTCCCATCCGATGATCTGTCTTCGGGCCCTTCTGGGCCTACTGCTCTGCTCTGCTGGCCAGCTCTGCCAGCTCTTCTTCTACTTTCTTCTTCATCCCTTGATGCAGCTGCCCATGCGCCGGGCATGCTGCCTTTTTTATTTCCTCTGGAGGCTCTGCCCCCGGATTGCAAATGGACCAATCAGAGAGAGGGGGAGTTAGTTTCCTCTCAGATCTGGCTCTTTGCCTCGCTCCTGGGTAGGGGTGGGGCAAGCCTCTCCCCTGCCATCATCTGATTAGTGGGAACACCCCACCAATTGCTCAGAGCCCTTCCAACCCAGCAAGCCAGGCTGCTGCCAGCAAGCCCATCACACTTAAATTGACCTGCTAGGGCAACATGCTTGGTTTTAGGTAAGTAGAAGTGCCCTAAGGGCATGTCTACACCATAAATGAACAGTACTAGGAACCCCACAGTGAGACACGGAATGCTGGCTCCACACACTACACCCCAAAACAGATGTAATGTAGCTGATGTACTGAAGTGTTGGCATGCACCAGAAGATTTGCCCAGTGCCACACTGATGTGGCTACGGTACATCTCTTTCACAGGATAGCACTAATGGAGTGGGCGTATTTCAGCTTTACAAAGCAACACACCCTAACACAATCCTTTGACAGTACAGGAATGCCCTACAGGGTCAATGTGGATTTTGCTATCATCCTCAACTGATCCTGTCAACAAACCTCTCTGAATCCCACTTCTGTATATTAATAGCATTGTTCTCTCAGGCCCTGCTGAATGCAGAGACGTGATCCACAGCCCTTCTCTTCCTGTGGTGGAAGGAAAATCTGAATTCATATCTTTTAGAAGTCTGAGAGCAGCTGAGTCAGAATTAAGGCAGCCACGCATAAGGAAGAGAGCAATTTATGGACACCTATACATGTGCTGGACATCTTGCTAATTAACATGCTTCAGCAGCCTCCATCTCACATGTATTCCATGCCCCTGTACTTCAAAATGGCAGTGAGGGCACTTTAACTAATGCATGTTGAACACTTTAACTAAGGCACTTTGAAGTGCAGGATGCTGAGTACATGTGACATTGCAGGCACTTTAATTAGAGTGGCTCTGGCAGCTACTGTAATTAAAGCACCCCTCTCCCCCTTCATCCCAGAGCACGTGTAAAGATGCCCTATGTTTCCTAAATTTAAGTGGCTGTTATTTCATGCCAAGTTGCAGTTCTTGTTAGTACTCCTGGAATTTTTTTCTGAATATGGTCCTTGGTTGTTAAATGAACTGACATTAACTTTTTTGTGCAATGCAGTTTGTCACTTTTAATGTCAATGGGAGTCACACTATTGGTTTCAGTAGGAAAGGATGTGGGTGCAACAGAAAAGCACCTTTTCAAGAATTATTCAAATTTTACAAATCATTGTGAAAAAGGAATTGCAGCTATTTGCAAGCAGCTTCATTCTGGACTCATCAGATGAGTCTTGAAGTGCAACACACTGTTTTTGCTGCTATTAGAGCAGCAATACAACCAAAATGCTTGTCACTGCTAATAAAGTTAGCTAATAAGAAAGAAACATGCAACGAAAAATCACAAAATTCAAGTAACGCTCTTCTCTTCTCTTCTCTTCTCTTCTCTTCTCTTCTCTTCTCTCTTCTCAGTTGACTCTTATCTTTCTCCTTTCTCTGGATTTTCCCCCCTAAAGCCTGGTAAATGCTTAGTCATCACATCAACATCATTAACAGTTGAACACATAAAGCCCTCCTAGCATACCACATGCCTGTTTGC